TCGAATGGTCCTTTAACGATGTGCTGTTTCTTCTTGATCCTCCACGGGATCCTAAGTCGATTGACAAGTGTTGGCGAGATGAGGTCGACCTGAGATCCTCCATCTACCAGTGCCAATGTTTGGAATCCTTTCCAGTATGCCATAACCCAGATTCTGTCATCGGGCTTGTCGTTCTGAATCGCAGCGGCTTCCTTTTTGCTCGCTGGGAGGTCGTAGATCCTTTTCCTTGCGTGGTTCTTCCTGCACCCGCGGATCTGTCGTTGTTGTGATGGATTTAGTGGTTTCCGGGCCCCTCGGAGGGCCCTGAGCCGTTTCCCAACTCCGTCCTGGCGTCTGGATAGGCGTCCCCATCCTCCTGTGCCTCTTGGTTGCCGTCCTGCGGTCCAAGTCTCGGGAGTTCTTCGAATAATTGTCGAATTTCGTTGGCTCTTCTTCCTTCCTCTCGTCGTTCGCGAGGCGTCATCCATCTTCGTGTATGTGTCTTGCGTTCGTGATGTTCTTGGAGCTTCGCTTGCATATGGATTAAGCAATCCTGGCTCTTGCACTGTCGAGTGCTATTGGGCCACCGCTGGCAGTCTTCTGGCTGGGTTCTTCGCGGTGTCACCCTGATTCTGTCGTATGCGTTGGTCCTTTCGACCTTCCATAGGGACTGGTCGGCGCCGGTCCCTGCGTCCCAAACCCACGGGACTGGTCGAGGTTCTCCGTTTTGGTCGGTAGGCCTGTCGGGCCAAAAGTCGTTGTCGAATTTTGATCGAAAATGGTATCGGCATTCGTGCGCGATGCACTGGAACCATGGGACGTAGACGTGGTCGTATCGCTGGGGTTGGAGTCGAAGTGCGTCTTGTTCGTGGGGTTCGTAGCGCGGGCCGAATCCAATCCAGATGCGTACCGCGTTGCTGTCCCCGACGCCGTTGTACGGCTTCTTATTCCAAAAAGTGTCCCAATCTTGTGGTTCCTGCCCCTTGAGTCTTCGCTGGTTCTGGGCCTTCTGGTATTCAGCCTCGGGGTTCTTGATTCCATTATTCCCCCTGCCCTGGCTTAGGTCCTGTGCTGGTCCATCCCACAAGTTCGAGTGGTGCTCTTCCTGGACCCTGACCAACTTGGCCTTGACGAATTCTAGTTGGCTCATGGCCTGAGCCTTTTCTTCTGCGAGTCTTCGGGTAATTGTTCGAAGCTCGGCTTGTTCCTCTTCAGCCTCCTGAAGGCGCTGGGCGAGAAAGATGGGGTTCGGGCCAACGGGTTCGTTGTCCGATTGTCGTGTCCTCCATTGACCTTCTTCATTCTGGGTCAACTGGAATCCCCAACCTTCTGCGAGTTGTGATGCTGCGGCGGCGGCAATGTCGTAGCCTGTGATGGGTTCTTCGAACGTAACGTGGGGGCTATTGCTTCCTGACCGAGAGGAGTCATCGATGCTTCCTTCAGCCATGCCTCGGTCAACTGCGTCGTCGAAGTCATCCTCGGTGTAGCTTGCCGCAGCCACTTCAACCACGCGGGTTGACTTGTCGATCGTGGCATTTTCCTTGCCGGGCACCTGCTTCCAGTTCTTCTTGCTGCGGCACTCCCGCTTGAAGTGCCCTTTCTTGCCGCAATTGAAACAGGTGGCCTGGGACTTGTCCTTCCGTCCTTTATCCTCACGCTGGGTGGCGTCCACGTCCATTGGACCAGCGTGGGTGCCATGCGACGTGCTGGGGTACTGTCGCTTCTTTTTGTCGTTTGCCTTGACGAATGTAGGCTGCGTTCCGCGTCCCTTGCGCTGCTGGCGCCTGGCATAAATCCGGTCGTCAATGCGGATAGCCATGGCGATATATTCGTCAAGCGTGTCGGGTCGGTCCTTTTGATACAGTTCATCCTTGACTTCTTCCTTCAAGCCATCGTAGAACAACTGCATAAGACCTTCGTCATTGATCTCGCACCGAAGTGAATCCTGGCGGAACTGCATGGCGTAGGCAGCCGCCGACTTTGTCTGCCTCAGGCGTGCGAGTCGCTCCTGCGCGTGGAGCTTCTCATCATGGTCTCCGAACACCTTCTGGATTTCCTGTTCAAATTTGTCGTATGATTTGAAAATTTCAATGGTGAAATCGTCCTGAGCGTCCGCACTGTTGGTTAGCCAATCCTTAAGGGTGGGTTCAAACCATCGAAGTGCCTTCCCCTCGAGCCGCGAGGAGATGAACATGACTTTGGCGGATTCGTCCGCAAACTTGTCCGGGTAGTACTTGAGGTAGGCCCTCATGGATGTAAGGAATCCAGCGAGTCCTTCTTTGTCGCCTCCGTACTTGGGGGGTGCTTCGAGTTTGGCTTTGTCCTTGGGCTTGCCGTTGTAGGCCTCGTTGACGAGCTGTTGCATATGGCCGTTTTCGGCCTCAAGCTGGGCGATTTTGGCGTTGAGAGTCTCGAGAGCCTGCTGCATCTGTCGCATGGTTGCGGCCTGGCTCTGGGATTCCGGGGTGCTAGGTGTCTGGGGCGCCATGATGGTCGGTGGTACCTTCGATCTGAACCGTGACAGAGTCAAAGGGAGTGAGCAACGTGTGACGAAACCACAGGCAGTCCTGCCTCTGAAAGGGTTCGCCGGTCGAAGGTAACTGCTGGTCGGACTGTAGGTCTCGGTGAAGCCAAAAGGTTCACAACAATGCTTGCCGCAATGTCTGCACAATAGGTATGGGCTATTGCTTGTAATATTGCTCACTGGAGAACTCCCAGAGTCCTCCAGAACGAGTGACTATATACTAGCTATCTTCTTGGGTGCTCAGTACTTCGATTCGATGAGCACCCAGGTGCTCATCGTGATATGCCCCTGATCACTCTGATCGCTTACATCCTGCAGAGTGCTCAGCGGTATTGGCACCTTAGCACCTTTGCCTGTCTCTGACTGGTCCGCCTAGTTGTCCAAATGATTGGCTCGGGACGCCCCCGCGTCCCCACATACGGCCGTCTGCCCTGCAGCCTGCCGTTGGTTAATTCGTGACAGGACTGTAGCCCGAACTCTGCCAAGCCCTCGGTTTCTCGGTGTATCTCTAGCCGGCCTGCGTACGACTAGTAATTAGTTGCTGCTGAAACCGCGTGGAATGTGTATGCGTTGACCATGTTCCATTTAGATCCACGCCCACAAAGACTTCGGTTAGTTACCTAGCAATTGCTTTCACTACCTAGTTAGTTAGCTGTGGACACTCGACTTAAATTGGGAAAAAGCGTTGCTTGGAAGCCGGGTGAATAGGGTGGATCATGAATGTGATGGTGACAGCTAGAACATAGAGCTCCACGCTCTAGTCGCACTTTCTATACCGTAATCCAAAGGTAATATAGGCTGGAGATCGTATATATAGTCTTCTATGCTATATGTACTAGCCCTACGGAGATCCTCGATACTCGAGTCCAGATGTAAGACCTGTCTTAGGTTCGTTTCGCTAGTCGATAGGTTGTTTATTATGGCTAGTGCTGCCACCTAGTCTCTAGGAAAGACACGGAAAACAGTAGGGAATATCTTATCGAGACGGGATATTGTTCAAGGGTGTCTTTTGCCAGGTTAGTGTGACGGATTGAGCTACCTGAACCACTCGGCTAACTCGCACCTTCCAAAAGGATGCCGACATCGCAAGTCCCCCGACCTTGCGACTCTGTGGTTCATATACGCGTTCACGCAGGCGCGCCGCAGCGCGTGCTCCACTCGGCCATGTAACGGTCTCAGGAGTGTATTTCAACTAACCGATGACGACTCTACGAGTACATCCAATCTTGAAGAAAAAAGGGAAAAGAAGAGGAGGAAGAGGAAGAGGGTCATCCCCAATCTAATGACGTGGCCTTTCTGCCTAAGCAGAGGAGGCAACAACCCGAAGAGGCAGGCACGATGAGGGTTGCTGCCTATGATATTGGTGTTGACGTTTAGGGGCAGGAGTGCGCAATGAGGGTTAGGGTTGGCCGAGGGTTGCCGAGGCTACTATAAGGCTCAGCCCGTTATAGGCCACACCGAGGAGCAACCTGCCGTAACAGTTAGCTAGACGGACTATGCTAGTCTCCAGACTTATGCTACCGGGCAGTCTACAATCAGTGGTGCAATTAAGCGTATAAGCAAGTAACTTAAGGTAACGTTACCCAAAACTAGGAGCATGCATCAAGTACTAGTACTCCACGCACTTTGCTCGCCTTCTTTACCTAGCTAAGGGTTGCCTACCTCTGAACATCCGATGAATCTATTGAACATCCGAATAGGCAATCATTTCTGGTAGGCACGCCACACGATACATGGAAAAACCCCACTATTTTATCGCTGGGCTTAAAGGATCAAGACCACAATCCAACGGGTCACGGACTTCGTTTAAGTAATAGCGTCGCTTGAGACTTCGTACGTGCTTCTAACTGCTCCAGGCGAGATAGTGGAGACGAATCCGGGTCCTTGGACGCGAAGGATCGAGCACCCGTCTTGGATCCTACAACTTGCCATCACTTTTTATAGCGACGGTTACTCCGGGGTAGTAGGGGTAGCAGGGGTTGTGCGTGCGGCGAGTGTGACCCGCAAGTCGGGACCGGGGCGCCGGGAGCGGCACAGCCGTATAGGCTTGTAAGTCCCCGATGAACACGAACCTGTCGTCTTCAGTCATGCGAGGAGGTCCTTTTTTCCCGTCTTGATGGAGTGATTCTTTTTCCTTTCTTTCTTTTCACGCTCAGATTTTAGTTTCCCATGCCTTGGATTACACTCGCTCTGCGGCTCCTGTATAATGTATCCGACCACCTTTTATACACATGCTCCAGTGTAATAAGTGCGAGGCCGTACGTTGTAGCCTGCGCGGTAGGTATGCAGTGAACAGATACACGGCCTGCAATGGCGACCACGCCTGCACGACCCAGTCCACAACCTTGAGATGTCACATATGCAGTCCCTGGGTTGGATCGGCCAATGCAAAGGCCTTACGGCATTTGGGCCAGTATATGTGGAGAGGAGTATATAGAGCCCCAGGAGACACTCGTCCAGTAGTCCCGTCTGGCCAGACATTCTGTTCTTCTCTGTCCAGGAGTATTCCGTCCATTCCCTTTTATTTCATTCCGCTCTCCTTACCAGCAGTGCTGGCACTGCTGATCCTATTAATTCACTGGCACGCTGAGTTCTAGGTTCTATTTCATTCCTTGACACCACCAAACCATTTATAATTTCAGCATAGCCCGGCTAGGTATTTCGCACACTCCACAATGTTTAGGAACATTGACAACACGGGTAGCCGTTACGGTCTGGGTAAGCAGCTGGGCAAGGGAAGCTTCGGCATTGTTTGCAAAGCACGAAGGGTGTCAGATGGGAAGGTACTTATGGATGGCATCCCCTCCGGAGCTGCTTTGGACGCGGGAACGTGAACGCTATATTACTGACATTCTTCGAAACAAAGCTTATGGCCTGCAAGATTGTGAGCATCTCCCCCGACAACGTAGACCTCACATTACAGGAGCTCGAGGTCTGGATAGACGCAGCCGATCGCTCCAGCCACGTGGCCAAAGTGTACGACGCCGAGTACAGCAAGACGGACAATGAGGCATACATCTACATGGAGCTATTCGAAGGCGGCGACGCCCGTGATTTCGCCAATGAGCTTACCGGACACCGCGCCATCATCCACCCGCTCCTCCTTTCGGTTATAGCCTACCAGACGGCGCTTGGGCTGAAACAGATCCACGAGAAAATGTTCCAGCATCGCGACCTCAAGCCAGAAAATATCCTCATGACCCGGAAAATCACCGCAGGGATGAACAGAGCGCTGTGGGATCTGGATAATCGTGAACGCCCTAACGAGCGCGACTTGGCCGCCGTGTGGAAAATCGTGCGCGAGCCGCGGCTGGTTGTGCTGGCCGACTTCGGCCTGGCGCGCGACCACAAGGCGCCCAGCAGGAGGGCCGGAATGGTCACCAAGGTGGCCCTGCCGGGGGGGTTCAACCCGGCCTATAACGCGCCCGAGATGGTGAAGAACAACGTCCAGTCGCGGTACGCTGACGTCTTCAGCCTCGGCATGGTCATCTACAACCTGGCCACCCTCCACTTCCCTCGGGACGCCTCCGAGCGGGGCGACATGCCCTCCCGTTATCCCACTTCGCTGCGGAAGTTGTACCTGCACTGTACCGAGGAGAACCCCAAACGGCGTCCGATGGCAGAGGACGTGGTGGACGTCCTAGATGGGATTGTGGATGCCGAATACCAGAGGATGGCCTCGCCGTATAAAGCCTGGATGTAAGCCAGCCCAAGCTCTGAGTTACAAGCTCCCCCTTGGGACCACCAAGACGCGGTTTCGTCACTGACATACATACAATGCCTTTAGCTCCAGTCTGAAGCCGGCTGCGGCGGCGACAAGCAGCAAGCCAGTAGCCGCACCGAGCCGCACCGGCGGGGCTTCACGTATGCCTCCAACTCAGGGAGGAGGGCGCGGCGGCGGCGGCGGAGGAGGCGGTACTGCCGGCATCACGCAGGGTATGAGGCGGATGGGCATAACGGACGCTCGCACCGGCGGCGGCGGGTCTTCGCGCGATTATTACGGTGACGGCCACTACAGGAGGTAAATGCGTTGCCGCTTTGCACTAAGCGGGGAACGATTCCATGACCCTTGGGTTAGAGGGCGGGAGAGGAGGCGGACTGGCTGGGGATGTTTGTTTTGTTCAGGAGGCTAGCGCCGGGGAGGGTGGGCTGTGGGTGTGGCGGTTAAAGGAGGGAGGAGTCGGAACCGAGTTTGGTATCGAGCATGTCGTCGGCTGCTCGGAAGGACTCCTTACGGTGGGTAGACGATGAAGCGGCAGTAGCGAAAATGCCGTAAATCCGTATCTGCTAGATCCAAGTCCAGACTAAATAGCAAATACAGGACCTCTACTTACCAAGCCGGCTATCTCGAAGCCAAGTCACTCCTCTTTGTCGCCCTGCCGTCCGTCCTCCCGATTCTGCCCATGCTCGCGCTCGAGCTCCAACTGCCTCTCCATCTCGGCCGTCTCGCTAGCAATCCAGTGCCTCATGCTCTTATACTCCCTATGGTCGCCACCCTGCCAGTAGGCGCAGTGTATAACGCGATACTCGCCCTCCCCAACTTCCTCCACATCGCGTCTCTCTCTCCTGGGCGCAAGCCTCCGCCACGTCCCAGGCGGACAAACGACGTGCTCATACCCATCATTCTCCACCGTGCCATCCCCGACCCACACCGGCCCGGCATCGTCCTCAGCTGGCGTACTCGGACCAACCCCAATCTCGTAAACCTGCGCCACGCCCTCGGCCGTCACCACCGTCTTGGGCTTGGGGAACACGCCAAACTGCATCTCGTACCCACTGCCGGGCGTACCACACAGCCGATCCACACCCGGGAACCCGCCCCCCATGAGATGCCAGGCGCCCCTGAACCCGTTCGCAAGCAGCGCCATCTCGCGCATATCGGGCGGCAGCGGACCGCCGGGGAGGGTTTTCTCGACCTCGGCGAGTGCTTCCGGGGTGAGGGGTAGGAGCAAGATGTCGGACGGCTTCTGCGGCGGGTTGTCTGTCTCCGCGTACTTGTCGTGGTGGACCTTGAAGGCTGCCTCCGAGAAGCGGCGGAGGAGGTCGGGCCAGGCGACTCCGTAGAGGGGCTCCTGCTGGCCGTGGAGCTTGCGGTGGGCGAGGGCGGCGGTGAGGGTGGTGATGGTCGCCAAGGCGGCGCGCTCCGGAATCAGGGGCTCCGTTGTGCTGTCGTTGGCGTCCCCGCTGAAGTACCATCCAGCTGTATTTCTTGCATTTCCTCCCCACCTACAGCCCCCTGGCTTACCACCTCCTGTGCCTCCTGCACAGTAAGTGATCCTCCAAGCCGCACACGTGTTTTTTTGGCTCTCCGGCGCTTGTTTAGCGCCTCATTAGCCTTGCGGAGCGAAGACACCTCTGCCTGAAGGAGGGCCACCTGGTGCATTACAGCCATCGTACCCTTGGTAAGCTGGTCCATAGCAGCCAATATCGAAGTCGGGGAGCTATTTTGATGGTTGGCAATGCGAGTCTTGATGAGCGTTGACTGTGAGTTGGCTTCTCGGGGGTTGTGTGGTGTCTGGAAGACCCAAGATTATATAGTGCCTGGCCGTGAGGTTAGGGGTGTTAGTATACGAAGCTTGATATCTAGCTTCGAAAGTACCTTCTCTGGATCGTACGGCACAAGGCCAGCCCCTATAAAACCGCCCTAGATATTCCTCTTGGTGATAGAGGCAAAGAAGGCCGCGCGAAAGGTACAAAGGAACTCAAGCTTGCTTATATGGTTGATATATGCACGTATTAAGTCCTCGATCTGGCGACCGTACGCCTGCTTTAACGGCCCAAAGCAGCCAACATCAAGTGGCTGGAGGAGGTGGGAGGAATATGGAGGCATATAGAGCGTGATAATGTTGTTCTGCTGGCAGTAGAGCTCGAACTCGGTTGAGTGGTGGCTTTCGTAGCCATCGAGGATCAACAACCGGTATTTGCCCTTTGTCCGAGGCGCTATATAGTAGTCGAAGTACTTGATCCAATCAAGGCCTACCGTATTGGTAGTCTAGCCATTCTCGGTAGTTGCAATGCGCCAGTCGGCTAGGAGGTTGCACTCAGTATACCAGTTGGCGAGGTAGAACTACGCTGCTAAGATAATAAACGGAGGGATAGCCCAGCCAAGGGTATTGACGCCTTGGATCACCGTCGCCCATTCGCGGTTGCCAGGCTAGGCTAGCTTCGCCTTGCTACAGCCATCCGAGGTTGTAACTACTATGCCCGGGAAGATAATGCCCATTATAAACCCAGTCTCGTCGAAGTTATAGATATCGTCATCTACGATACCGTACTTGGCCTTAACATTCCATACAAGGGTAAACCACTCGCCAATGACCTTCGGATCCTTGTACTTTGCCCTCTGGTAATCGTATCTTCGCGAATAACGCGTACGGAGCTCTGGCTGGCGTTTGACAAACCGATGCGCCCAGAGCTTGCCAACAGGGGGCGCGTCGCGTACGCATAGCAGTTGGTTGGCCATATCTTCCATACCACGCAGTCTCGGCGGAAAAGCTCGCTTAGATAGCTCAATTATATACTGAACAAGAGCCCTCTCTTCGGAATCGGTGAGCCGGCGCGAGTTGGGCGTAGTGTCGCGTTGTGCAGGCCGGCCCGCTAGTCGGTCTTGCAACGTTGTTCGTCGAACGTCGTAGTACTTCGCTATAGCCCTTATGCTTAGTTTTTGGTCTTTTTGTATCGCTTCGAGGGCTAGGTTTATCCTAGCCTCGTACGAAGAAGAAGACATGTTAGGTTGTAAAGAAAATCTGGTTTTAAGCGCGGAAGTGACGCGTCGCGGGTAAAGTGGCCGGCTCGCTTATATGGCCGGCTCGCTTATAAGATACGTTAATGGTATAATGCTATATTCAAAGTTGCTAGGAAAAAAAAGAAACCAGGATCAATAGTATATCTAAATATAGACGAGATAGAGGGAGAGAGAGAGGGAAAACTACTGACTATTAGGCTATCTTATGCTTGGGGTTCTTAAAGATATTATTGGGACTATAGATGGCATTGGTCGTAGCTATAAACATCTTATGCTGGATCTATCGAAATAGGTTAACACCAGCCGTAGTCTTTCGCCTGCCTAGAGATATTGCAAGTAACTACGCCGATATTGCGTTGATTTCGTCCAGTCCTAGCCCTAGTGCTAAGGCTAGGTAGAGGGCCTTAATAAAGAAGCCCAAGTACGAGTCGTCGTTATTTATATTGGCCCCTAGAATATCGTAGCCGGACGGCGTATGTCCTATGACCCTCTCGGCGGCGCGATGCTCGATCGGGTGGAAGGATAGGATGTAGATCTAACACTGGAGTGCTAGAACAAGAGACAGCGAGGTAATAACATATATATGCGAACCGGGTATGCATAGCGTATAGATGGGAAGGCTATATTTGTCCCTGTGGTAGGCGGCAAGGGTTAGCTATCTATATATATTATAGGACGACGTTATATATTTCTAAACCGGAGCTTGACTAAGAACTTCGTCTTCTGGGTACCTAGGCCTAGCAGAGGGCTGACAAAAGGCACTAGCGTTGCCAGGCCCTACGGCTCCTTTTCGTATTATATCAGCCGTAACAAGGCGCAGAGAAAGGTATAAGCGGCCACAAGGCCGGCGACAAAGCACCAGGCAACTTGGCCCGCCATTGTTAGATCAGCTGGCTACTAGTATGCTGCGCCAGAGTATAGGACTGACTATAACAGCAGAGAAAAGAGTTTAGGCTGGTAGTAGTTTAAGGAGCTTATATAAACCTAGAAGCGAAAGCGTCGCGTTAAGGCGGATGCTATACCGATGGTTGTTTGGCAGACAAACATTGCGGTACGCCGTTCTTAACGTCCCCTACTATAAACTCAGGGGCATTTAAGCCAATTAGGACTGGCCCTAATATTCTAATACAGCTGCGGTTGACTAATAGGAAAAAGAAAGGAGAATAAAGAAAAGGACCTTATATGCCAACAGTATGCCGAATTAATCGCGCTATCTTACCGCGTCCCCCATCCGAAAAAGCATATATTAGTACCTTCTTCCCGTTTATCAGCCGCTATAGGTCCTATAATATAACCTTAAGGATCCAGGTCCCTAACGGAACCAATATACATCGATAAGCCGTGCCTATTATATAGTATATAACACCTCAAGAACTAGTTATAGCTTAAAAGAACCAACATATGTCGACGAGGCGCTATTACGAAGCAGGTAGACGAATGGGAACGCGGAGCAAACGTACAGGTTCGCCGGAGCGCCGGAGAGAGCTGCGAATGTCAGCCACCAAACACACGCGGCAAATCACCACACCTGACAGCCAAGTCTTTAACAATAACAATGATCCTCTCGTACAGAAACTACGTTGAGGAGCAGGTCCATATCTCTCTAATTGCGCAGTTCAACCGGCAGCATACTGCACGGTGCCGTACTATAAGACAGTCAGTGTCTACAGCGCTCAACCGCTTAATGTATGGTCGCATCTCTACTCAGAAATGGAAATGAAATAACTTGAAAGCACCGCAGGGTGTTCAGAATATATACATAACCCTAAGAATCACCCTCCTACCTGCCAAGGTGGCTATGTCTTGCGTCAATACTATGCATGGGTACTTGTACATGGCACTTGGTGTTGACGGAAAACGGGGAGAGTCGAGCGTTATTACACACAATTGGCTAAGCGCCTTGAGTATGTGGGTCCCATCTAAGCATCGCAAATGCAGGAACAGGACCTCGGGGACATAGTAATACTGCTTTCTACCAAACCGGTATCTAAACTCTCAAACTATCCCCGCGCATCAAGCTTTAAAAAGCATTGATACTCCTGCAAGTTTTCACTTGCGAGCTTAACTTTCAACATACCACAGATGCTTCCGGCGCCTTCCTCCGGAATACAGAAGTCGTAACACCTCGCGCGATTCTATACACCCCTTCTCTATTCTAACGCTTGGCATTTTCGTAGCCGGCTATATCACCGCTCGATGGGACCTCGTCACCCGCCTCTATGAACTTGCCATCTTTGCCTGGAACTACGGAGTGGTCGTAAGTAAAGCCCTACTCCCCGTCATTTAACTCCCTGAAGCAATCGGGGTTCTACCCGAAGCATGGACTAATGCATTTAGCAGACTCGTGCCGCCAAGGGCTTCGCCGTCCTCAGCCTCTTTTTCCTCTTGATATTCCTGCCCGTAGAGCGCCTTGCAACCCGCGAGTCCGACCTAGTACGACCGCACAGCCCCCGGAATCACCTAGATCGAATCCGTGCTAATCAGCTTTGTCCAGCATCCACGATCAATTGGATCCGGTATATCGGCTAGGGAACAACTGAGGCGACGGGGTTCTTTCTAGGTCCTTAACCGCGTCCGTGGCTACTTGACATGCCAGGGCGTGATGGCTTGATGCGCGTGTTCTGGCCGGCTGACCTGCCACGGTCGGACCTTCGGGGTATAGTGGTGGGGTGGAGAAACTCGGCGCTGGATGTCTTCGTCCTGACGCCGTTCTTCGCTGCACCCGACATAGAAAGCTGAAAACGAAGCGGGGGCGACTTGCTATAGTGCAAATCGAGGGTACGACAAGCATAGCTTAGATAATAGGGCAGCTCTACATCCGCCAGAGGCTTATAATATCTATTAGTAGGTAGTAGATATATATATAGAGGTAATTATAAGGGACGCTAGGTATCAAATCTTGCTATATAGTACATCTACTTGAATTATCCGAACCTTTAGGCCTAGGCCTAGGCTCAGGGTTAGGGTTAGGGTTAGGGTTAGGGTTAGGGTTAGGGTTAGGGTTAGGGTTAGGGTTAGGGTTAGGGTTAGGGTTAGGGTTAGGGTTAGGGTTAGG